AAAATAAGTAGATATGATCATTTGATACACAAACGAAAACACAGCTTAATATCACTAATTAAGATCAATAAAATAATCTAATATTCCCATTTGATAAAGTATGATATCATCAGGTAAAAGTTTAAGAACAGATTGACACTGAGACACTGACATACTATAATCTTCACATTGAATACATAATAAATCAAGTTTAAAACTATTTGATGCTTTCCACTTCTGTGAACCTTCACAATGATTCAGCCGGACAGTTCACTTTCTGTTGTGATACATTTAGACACAATTATTTGGTTCTTTGAGCACATTTTTCAAAGTTGAACTACCTTCATAATCATTTGTTCTATCAGTTAATTTTCTAAATCTTTAAATAAAGATTTCGCCTACATTTAAAACTTTTAATATACTATATAGATGCATACAATAGAGCAGCTACAAGTTCATCATGTAAACATCAAGCAATAATTGCAATAAGTTATAAGAAGGGAGAAAGTTCTCCATTTCAAAATAGATACCTCCCATATCTATTATCCAACTGTAATAGATTATCTATATGAAATGGTAGAATCTATTTCAACCTAGAATATAAATCAGACTTAGTCTTCGTGGAAAACTGCAGCTTATATTCCAAATAAATATAAAATCATTGCCAATACGTAATCATACCTGTAACCAATCAAAATCATTCAAACCTACACATCAAAATAAAACTGATATTCAAATACGATACCAATTAGTTAGGCTGCTTGCACAAATTCGAGACCGCTTTCAGTTGACTTCAACTAGAAATAATGCTCATCATAGCTATAGGGCTGTCAGTTTTGCTAAAATTGAGCTCCAGCCACACTACTTGCTGACTCTTTAACCTGGCTCACATAACCTAGTTGTCAGGTCGCCTTTAACACCATCCCAACTAGTGGAGGGAGAATATAACACTTACGGCCGCTGAAAGATGTATTTGTTGACGAGGACTTGAATATAATGTACAAGTAGGCAATCACACCACAATGAAGCTAACGAGCTCTTGTCCTTTGAAAATTATATTGACACCATTTGTTTCAATCCACACGGATAAATAAATTGATCGTTGTTGGTGAAAAGGCTGAGATTCAATTGAATTGACGAGCTTCTTTGATTCCCTACACTCAGTAACGACTGGTTGCGTGCAGGAAGTTACCTGGAGTTCTAGTAAGATGTCATAACCAGCGGGATAAATTAAGTCTAGCAACAGGACAGTCACTCGCTCATGGTGATTTCGCTGTAGATATCATGAATTAGCAGAGGTTGGAATTCATGAGTCACTGGATCGAGTCTCAGTGGCTGATTGGCCTACTAGTTTACCTTATAACGGGAACGTCACTGTTATGAACCCAAGTTGGTGCGTGCAGACGAGGAGTCTCAAGGTAGTGTGAGAGTGTTGACTTCTTAGTTTTCCAGTGGTTCTCTGAATAATGTCAACTGGTTATCAATTCTTTAAAATCATTGTGCTGCTTAGAAAATTCTTTGCACTCAAATCCCTCTTCAATGAAATTACCTACATTGTTCGTTATCCTATTACATGTACTATATCTCCTTCTGACAGTATCTCTACTGAGAACATACAATAACTCCTTCTTCTCACCAGTTCTGACTGTTGACTGTACTAAAATCCATTATCACTGAAGTTATGGAATTAGTAAGTTAAAGGATCACAGGTATCATATCTCTTGCTGGAAGCTTTTCTTATGACGACTAAATAATGCGTACTGCTAGAATTATGAGGATTGCTTACTGGCAACTTGAAGCTTTATGATTGATGCTTGCACTCAGATTAGTTCTTGTCAGTCACCCCACTGTTTGGTCACGACTGACGTACTCTCAGAGAGTAACAACATTTAAAGTCATCATTATTACAGCATCCTTTCTCAAGTACAAAGTAGTCTCATGCACATAAAAACGATTTAATTCAGTGTGAATTTAGTTAAAAAGTAACTCACGCTTTCGGTTTATCCAAAACAAAAAAGCAATTCACTCATTATCCTTCAGTGTGGTAATAATGATTGATTTGATTCACTCGGAGGTTAATGTGTAAATCTGTATTTGATATTCACAGTATGATGAAGTGACCTCACTAGAGAAATATGACGAGTTCCAATTCGCCGTCAATCATTTATTTTGAAGGAGGATTCGTCTTCAGATAGTCATTCAACATTTTCGGATTGACGTGTTCACTTCATCACCAGTATTAGGAAGCAACATTCCTTCGTTAATTTAAACATCGTCAAATTCTCTCATCACATTGATAAGACCAACTGTAGACGATGAAGTCTGACCAGTTGTCGCTTATTCACAGAAGCTACACTAAATGAGGATTTAAAAATATCTGTGGATAAGTAAATCAGGAATAATTTCTATAGTAAAATGCATTTTAATGCTTCAGTGAAATAATGCACTCAAGTTACACGTTATTTGTTTGTTGGTGAAGTATATAAATAACATTATCAAAGTTAAAATCGGCTGGCTAACTTGTCTAATCATAATTAAAACGGACAAGTTAATGATTCTGTGCCTTTAAATAAAACTAAAATAGCTGATGAGTAGGTGTAATCAGTTGAAAAGCATACGGATGAATGTTTTGAGTTAACTTGCTGTCTTTAATGTGTATATACTCAGGAGAAGCTTTCAGTTTTAATGAAAACAAAACACGTAGATCAGCGAAGAGACACTTTTCGGCGAATTCATTTTCTTAGCTGTACAATCGCAAATATATATGTGTTATTTCCTATGCATGTGTACATTAAGTTTGTCAAACAAAATTACAACTGGTTAAGGTTATTTTAACTAAACAGGTGAAGATTGGTAATACAAATCAAGAAAATTAGATGTTAATAAAATTAGGGTAGTAACTTGTAGTAACTTTTTTAATTTTTTTATTTACAGCTTGATTCCACACTGTATTTTTGGTACAAATATGTATTTCAAAAACATTACTCGATGTCGTTGCTTCACTTCCCACAAACAGGTGGGACGACAATGTCTAATTTTACTCAGCCTAGTCAAGCCAGACTAGTTAGTGATTGATTACAACACTGTGGAACTGCTGAGGCACTGACTACTAGTGTGCGCCTTTCCACTTGTCAGCTAGCAGTACACAAATGTCAGAGAGATTCATTGAATTGAAACAGGTATTCTGGGTAAATCATGGTTGCTCGGGTAATTGGATAAAAACGGTTACCTCCCTTTAACTTACTCAAACATAACTGTGTAATGGGTACAGGATTTCATTGTGAGCTGACATCGGTTAGGGAACCACTGGAAAACCTGGGATTACTGGATACCCGGACAGCAGTACTAAATGCAGCACCGCTTATATCATCCTGAGCGATCACTTACTATGATCCGTAGTCCCAAAAGAAGTGCATCTCGCAGCTTTGTCTGATATATAGGAAATCTATCCTGAAGAACTGGTCTCTAACAAACAAATTTCAAAAGACTGATTGTTGGACATAGAATATTCTTTTCGATAAATTCTTCATCAGGTTCTGCAGTTAGATTTCAATAATACTGAGAGAATCAGAGTTTTTAACAACATTAATATCAAGGGAGGAACTGTGATATCTTTGCCTATAATATCCTTATTCATAAATGTACCTCCAGTAGAAAAGGTTAACCACATATGTGAACAAGTGTACATCAAATCTATAAATACCGGCATCCCAACAGAAATATTAAAGTGAACCATGAGTGTAAATATTAAATTTGGCGGCACACTTCACAGAACAGTGGAGGGGATGGCAATGCATTCCCCATTGGGTTCCACGCTAAAAGATTTCTTTTTGATTACACTAGAAGATGGCCTTTTGAACAACCTTATCAGAAAATTATCATTTTATTGACGATATATGGATTATACCTTCATTCTATGTGAAATTGAAAACAATAATAACTCAATTCAGTGAAGTACATCCCGTTACGAAATTCACGTGTGAAGAAGAATTGATTTCCTAGATGTCTTTCTTGCAAGAAAACCAGATGGTAGCATTAGGAGAAATTCGCATAAGAAAAGTACATCGACAAGGTAATATACGCATTTTCATAGCTTTGTTCCTTTCCAGTACAAAAGGAATCTGATAAGAACCCTCAACTCCAGGGTCAGCTCTATATGTTCAAAAGACGTAACTAAAGATGAACTTAGGATTGTGTGTGACACCTTAATTGAAAAAAAGCTATACAGAAAAGTTCATCAAGAAACACATGACCAAGAAAGTAGAAAGTGACTATTTTCTATCTGTGAATAAGCCTTTATACACACGATTGCAATTCAAGGGTGACGACGTACCGATGGAAATAATTACTTACATATTAAGAAACTTTGCTGAGAGAACTTCAAATACTGGTAAATTACAAGTCACATTTCTACACGCTCGTAGAGCGAGTTGAATTGACCGTTTCTCTGACAACTTGATATTTTCTGCTCGGGAACACTTACCAGTGTGGCCGAATAAGGATGTAGTGAAAACTATGAAAAGGTCAATATTACAGACCACCCGACCAAACATGCTAAACTGACTGGAACTCTGTTCCGGCAGGTCCTACCATGTCAGGAAGGCTGTTTGGATAGCGGTTAAACTAAAAGTAGTTACCATGGGGTACATGGGCTTCAGTATCCAATCATATCAAATGGCGTATGAACCCATATGGGTCACCATGGGAATACAGCTCCTGACGCTGCTCTGCTGCCTTGCGGATTAGACTCCAAGTCAAAGGCTCGGGGTGGTGGCCCCCTAGTAAAACCACCTGCTTCGGTCTGGGCGCCCGGCCAGTATCTCAGCCCTCACACAATGAATTGAATAAAGCAGCAAACAATCAATGAAACTTATCGTGTGCTATTACACGTGTAGCGATTTCCTTCTCTCTTCCCTTCCCGATGATAGTTAACGAATACTGTTTGAACTTGTTAAGCATGACTGTTTTCCTTTCAGATGAAGTTCTTTATCCGTTCTCTACTTATATGTATACTTCTCTCCTCTCTTTTTTTATTCTTTTGATCTATGTTGTTTTATTAATATTGTGTGGCGCATCCTTCTTGGTGCCATATTGTACCAAGCTTTTATGCGTCAAAATAAATAAATAAATAATAAATACCCGACCCAAAATGGCTACAAGGCTAGCATTGAATAATCGTTCTGCATCATCTATCAGGAACCAAAAACGTTTTCAGGCATCCATGTACCAAACACTCTAAACAGTAGAGTCTATTACTATTCGCCTAAAACAACAGGTGCTCTGTATGCCAAAGAAAAGGTCTAGCCCCTACTAATTCCCTTACCTTCTCTGGAGCCTATGAATTCATTAATTCTCTACTATTGTTCTCCCTAATTTGTCTGAAATTCAATGTAGTGTTACACTGATCCATCTTATCATGCTTACAGATGCTATTGATCCAGTGTTATTTAAGCATTTATGTTGTTAACAACCCTAATTCTTTCATGATTAGGGATATATAAATGGAGAACCTGATGAAGAAGTTATCGAAAGGAATATTCTTTGTTCAGTAATAAATCTTTTAAAATTTTTAATTGGCATTGTGGATCAAATAAAAAAATTAATGTGGACTGAACTCCAATGAAAACAGATTACACGTTGAGGACACTGATGAACATCAGTTGGTTTAGTACCAGTCTCTGAGATCTCATGTCAGAGAAAAGTGTTGATATGCCTAGCTTAATCTAAACACATCAATCTGTTGAAGAGAGATCTGTTTCAGTAAATATACTAGAAATGTAAGATAGTTGAAAGTGCATGGAATAATATAGATTAGTCTGAAACAAGTGAAAACACGGTCCGTGTAACCCGATGGGGGTTAAATTTTACATTGGTATATTATCACACTTATGATAACGCTTAGACAGCTGAAGGTATTCTGTCTGCTGCTCCTCAACTGGTCAGATGAATAAAGACAAAAAATTGAACCTGTCAATTCGGTGAGATAATACAGTTAGAGAATGTTGTCAATAGGGTTAGACAAACAGAAACCACCAAATGGTTAGTGAAAGCTTATCGATGATGGAAGAGTAGAAAATACACAAAAATGTCAGATTATTTAGACAGCAGAATTGTCATCTTCGTCCACGTGAGGGAGTGATAATGATGAATCTAAGAAAAGTCGGATGTTGATGACTTTGAACAAAAAGATGAACAATAATAATAAATAAGGTGCTCAAAAAGTTTCAGTTTCAATCACACTCTAAGTGAGAGGTAATTTTAGTTTCAATGAAAGTTAGCACTGAATGGCATACCGACTATTAATTCAGTCTAATGAGGGAGATTATGACAGTACACAGCAGTAGCAGTAAGAGTACTTTAATATCTGGAATATGTTTAATTTGAATTGATGTTAATAGTATATCATCCAGGTCGACAGCGCTGAAATGAAAACACAAAGTAATAAGAAGAGGTGATGAATGATTTCTCATTTCATATGGCGAAGAAGTGGAATCACATCACATCGAAAGAATACTGATTGATACTCTAGTGTCAATGAGAAGATGAAACGAATATATTCCCAACACAACATCCACCAAAATACTTCAGGTCAATCCTCTAACATAGTAGAAGCGTCCATAGCAGGAGCCTACACATCAGTTGAAGCTGGACATTTCGGTGCAACCAGCTAACGAGAAAATCAGCGTTAACTTAAAACAAATGATAATTGATGGCTGTAGCAAAAAGAGTGACTCTCATACCTCGGAGTCGTCCAGTGGATAACGCCATCAGGTTTGAGACGAAGAGTATGTGGCTCAAGTCTTAGTGGGGATGCCATCACTTGCTGAATATTACAACTATACCGAGGTCATGAGTTCCAAATACGATGAAGTGAGCATGCATGGTAGTCACCATCCTTCGTTATTATTATTAGTTTATTCCTCTGAGTCCCTTGTGGGACAGACGGCTACAAACTAGAGATTTGAAGTTTCAGTAGCAGTAGTATCTTTATACAGGATTGCGTTGCCAGTCAGATAACCAACCTTCCATCTTTACAGAGCCAAGTGGCATGAAAAGCTGCGTCTGCCGGAGGTCGAATCCCACACCACTTGCTTCGCTGGCCAGTGTTCTACCACTGAACCACCGACGCACCAAACATCTTTCAGATTACTTAACATTTAACCATGAAAATGAGGTCTACTTCTAGACCACTTCAGCATATTGTTGCTATTTATCATATTATAACCCAATATTAAAAATCATTACCCCTTTTATTAGACGCTAGTAATTAACTAGTGTCCAATCAGAGTGTCCCACAGGAGGTCAACCGCCAGCCCGATTAGCTCAGAGGTGCGTCTCTTACTGAAGCGCTGGGGATGCAGGTTCGAATTTCAGAAGTGACATGAGTTCCTTCAAGGTTTCAGATATGCCTTGCTGACTAGTGAGTGTCTACCAGCATGAAACCTAGGTCCTGGCAAGGCTTCTTACCGATTGCCTCCCACAGTCTAATATCAGCAATCATTCCCCATAATTGTGCTCTTCTATATACCATTTCCCATTGTATATTTGTTGAAAACTGAGAGTCATTAATTATGCACGCATAAATGATTACTTAACCATTTTACACAAGGGAATTATGAACCCCTGACGAACCGATTCGATAGATAAGCAGTTACAGTAACATGTACACACATATATACGAGGCTTACTAATGGTCAGTTGGTAAATCTTCTCTTCCTTTTCCGTCTTCTTTCTCCTCTTTAGGCTTAACTAATGAAATACGGGCCACCAATCGTTCATCAAATTCATTTAGTTTAAAGTGATCTATTCTGTATAATTCTTGGTCTCCTCCTTCGGATTCTTTCCTATAAACCAGTACACCACTGTATCGTAAATGTTTTTTTAACTAAAAAACAACAAATTGATGGAATAACACAATATTATATGGTATTTCAGTGGTATGAAAATTTCAACTAACACAGGTTATTGAGTGACGTAATATTAACAATAATAATAATTTACTTTATTCCAAAAACAGTACTTATAATACAGAATGGAATTCTCAGCATCTGTCACAACACCTTGCATCTGATTTACTTAAAATATAAATAAAATTAAAAATTAAAACAAAAGTAACCAGAGAAACTTGTCCGCATTTACGATATCAAAAATATTCCAAGTACGAGCTGAGAATATTAAATATAATAATAATAACAACAGTGAGTTTGTTTCAAACAGTATTGTCGATTCAGTTTGAAAATTTTAGCATGTTAATATAGAGTATTGAATCTAATGTTCTGTTGATGTAGTATAGTCAGGGGAAATACAAGATTAGGAGTGGTAACACGATGTTCACACTTATGAAAAATAAATAAATAGAAACAAAAATTGAGAGGATTATAAATATAAGAAATACAATAACAATAAAGTTTGGTACTGTAAGGGTAGAAGAAATGCTCTACTTAGTAGTGCGAAGAAGATTAGTTAGTTCATGCTTGACACCATTTCCATCACATAAAGTACGTCCCAAATATGGTATAGTGGAATTTTTATACTCAGACGTACGTGCGTAAATTCTTCTACAAAGACCTCTTGTTTTACCTGAGGAGACACAAGGTTGGAGCTGTGGGTAGAGTGGGTGCTCACAGTCTCACAAAATTCCTTTAGCAAATTTGTTATATGACATCAAGTGCCTATCCGTGACAATGTCAGCGATATGGCCCAATGGGATACCACTCGTCTTACTGACAGTCTTTGGAGTTCTACGAAGTATGACATAGTCTTTTTTAAGCAATCCAGGAAAGAATAAAGGTGAACAGTAAAGAAGAATAGGTAAAACACGCGAGTTGACAAACTGTAGGAGGAGGGGTTGGGTTATGCCTGAGTCCCTCAACTTCTTAATCTAAAAAGTCAGACAAAATATTCTTTTAGAAATCGCTAAGACATGGGAACACCAGGATAGGTCAGAAGAAAGAATTCATTGACGGGGTTGAGTGGAATTCAGCTAAAATTGAACGAGAGTTAAGTTAACAAGAGTTTTAATAAGGGGATGGAAGTTTAACAGATGTTCAGGGAATAATATAATACAATTAAGAAATAAAACAAATACAAAATTACATATTTGGTGTTAAGATAGATCAGGTCCATTGCAGATTTAATGACTGAACAGATTTCTTCAGTATGCAGAGTTCTTGATTTAAAATTCGAATTGCCAATACTCCTACAGTTCAAAGAAGTCTAATATGTATTCTCTTAGCGAGATCCTCAGGTATTCTGTAGATAACTTTGAAGTTGATTTGTGGGTTAGCTTGGTGTCGACATTCGATTAAGTGTTGTCAGATAGAACTGTGGGCGTATTTTTTTCACCTTTATAAAACCCTTAGGGTAAGTGTTCGATGTCAAGTTTGGATAGCAAATGCTTGGTATAGCCTACCTACCCAAAGGGGTGTGTTAGTACTACTGTCCAGCACTACCTTGTTTCCCAATGGTTCTCTGACCAATGTCAGCTCATCGGGTGATTTTTTAAAATCTAAAATTTCAGATTCTAATAACAAAAATAAAAAGTGGGAATAAATAAAATGAAAGTAAAAAGAAAAACAAATGAAATTTCACGTATAAAAATGGGTGATGGCTGAAAGTGAAACTTAAAGTTGAGACCCATCAGGATTTAAATCACGCTGTTTCTAGGTTTTTACCTCAGTGCTCTAACAACTGATCTGTTTCCAAAGGGCACCACTGGTTCGTATTTTGCTGTGGTTCAACTTTTCTTTTCATCTTCACTTATCATTTTTAATATCAACGTTAACCCAAGAATTTATTCTCGCCCGAAATAACCTCACCAAAAGAACCTCTTTTCTTAAAATGAGAGAAATATATAGTAGAATTTAATTGGTGGATGGTGACTAGCAGTGGAACCTAGGATGCGCACTTCGTCCCATTTGGGACTCGTCAACTGAATGTACCTGCGTTCCCCAGTGAGTGATGATTTTACCACCGAGGCTTGAACCCAGTGACCATAGTTTCTGCATCTGCACAAGAAGCCGACATGTCACCCTGAGACCGAGCACTTCAGTCCAATCAGTCGACGGGAAAAAAATCTAAAATTCAGTTAAATATATAGTAGAAGCTTAATTAAAAGATAAACTCAACGAAGCCTTTGGAATTAAGACAGGATAAGACAAGGCTGCCTACTACTACCAATGGTATTCCTTATTGTTGTGAAGGGGATCATGTAGTAGACTGTAAAAGGTGAGAAGAGAGACACACGTTAGACCGACAAGAAAACTACATAGGCTAGATTACACGGGTGTTTCATGTTTGATGTCATACACAATAGAAGATCCACAGGTAAAAACCAGTAAGTTGGCAGAAGAAGCAGGGTAGGGAGAAACTCAAGCGAGGTGATGGAGTTACCTGCCCAACGACACCGAGAAACAATCACTGTAAACGGAGAAATTTGGAGGAGGTCAGTTTTATCACTTATCAAAATGATATTATCTCAATTATTGGTGCGACTGATGGCGATTTCAAAGGCGGTCAGGATTGGAAAAACAAAAGTGATCTTAATTAATCTGAAATCACTTTGTAAATCTGCTGCATTCTTTATGAGCGAACCGATATGGATTTTCAACACTGTTTTCAAGTCAGCCCTTCTGTATGGTATAGACTATTGAAGCGCCACCTGAATAATCTAGAACAGGTTGCAGTCTTTCATAAACAGATACCTTCACTCCATAATGAAGATCACACAGCCGGCTGGAAAGCATTAGAAGCAAAAACCTTTGGGAACAAATACGTAGTCCAACAAATATACCTAAGAAAATGGAGTTGGATCAGTCACACTGAGATTATCATTGAGTGACATCAGGTACCATCCAGACATTCAAATGGAACCCGAATAGGAAGAGTCCAGCACAGTATTCAAGGGTAACGTAAGTAGAAGATAGTGTATGGATTGAACGGGTAATCGTGAACACAGCTAAAGGGGACTGCAAATAACAGGATAAAATAGACCTTTCCTGTTGAAACCCTATGTTCCACTAATAACGCAAAGGACTATTAATAATATTACGTTAGGTGGTCTGATACAGAAACTAAAGACTCTTTAGCGGGGACCACAAAAATTCACTTCATACCAAGCTACTGGCACATAAATTCGCCGCGGTTCACCCTGATACTAACTATCGGAATCGTAGAATAAAGATTACATCCATACCACTTGAAGTCTTAGTGGAAAAAAGATAAAACTGTAAAACTGCGATGAAATATTTTTCTTATGTAGTCGTGTGAACACAAGTTTTGCACGTGTAATGACTTATCAGCCACTAACAGATTTCCGTTTATTTAATGACTAAGGTAAATTGAAGGAGTCCAATACTTCTTTAATTGGATGAGGAAAAACAAATACACTTTGTCTTTGATTAAAGATGACTTTTAAAAGTGATACGTGAGATAGAAAGTTGTTGGTTGGATGTCATCAAATACTGGTTATTTTAAAATGGCATCAAATATATTTCATCATGGCCAGTATGTATCACTGAGTTACCTAAAATGAAGATAAAGATTAACGATGACTTAAGTATAATGGGTGTTTTTAAATGTGGCTGATTTACTGACTGACTGGTTTAAACGTAGAACTTTGCAAGGATTTGCAGCAGTTCCAGTTGCCGCACTTCATGTAGCACACAGAGCAATAGAAGAGAGTAAAGAGAGGTTAAAAAGGCAAATAATTAAAAGAAGTGTGGGGCGAAAACAATAATGATATGGAATAACAAGGGAGTTGTATTGATTATGCCCGACCGACAGTTGCCTTGACGTCATAGTTAGGCTTGCATACCAAAATGACCCAACAAGCTAAACTGGCTGGAACTAATATTCCTACAGGTCCGACTGTGCCAGAAAGATTATTAGGATAACAATTAGAAGGAAAGCAGTTACCGGCGTGGTGTAAGATTTCTTCTTACACTATGATAAGTGAAGACGGGAGTAAAACAAGCTGGCTGCATACTATCTCCAGTGATTCTCCTGATTACGGTAGACTAGATAATGCGATAGACAGCGGTCAGCGAGGAAACACGCTTGGACCCATACAAAATACTTGGAGCATCTGGACTTCGCCGATGATATATGTCTGATTTCCCAAAAACTGGAAGATATGCAAGTGAAGAGCAACAAGTTGGCAGAAGAAGCATCAAAGATAGGTGAACATAGAGAAAACAAAGGTGATGAAGATTCCTGGCCAACAACAACAACAGACAAAAATCAGCATAAATGGGGTGAACCTGAAAGAAACAACCTCCATTACCTACCTGGGAAACATCATTTCAACTACAGGCGAACGGAACTGACGAGGATATCAAAGCCAGAATCGGAAAAGCAAGACAAGCTTTCATTACTCTTAAGTCTGTGTGGAGGTCAACAGCACTCAGCACCAAAAATAAGATCCCGATTTTCAACCCCAATGTGAAGCCAGTACTACTATACGTATCGGAGACTTGGTGTGTCATAAAGAGCACATTGAACAAACTACAGACCTTCATCAACAGCTGTCTTTGCTCAATACTCAGAGTCAGATGGAAGGCCAAAATAGATCAGCAACAGAGATCTCTGGGAGCGAACCAACCAGGAACTGACTGTGAAACAAATATGCAGGAATAAATGGAGGTGGACTGGCCATACTCTGAGAAAACCATCAAGTAACATCACACGACAGGCAATGGAGTGGAAAGCGAGCGGGAAGTGGCGAGTTGGTCGTCAGTGCAAGGGTGACATTGAGGGGGTCATATGAAGAGGAGATGAAAGCATGTGGGCAGATGTGGAGCCAGGTGAAAACGTTGGCAGAGAACCGAACGCAATAGAGACATGCAGCTGAAGCCCTATGTTCCTCTAGGAACTAAAGGAGACAATAATAATATAAATAAGGCTAAGGATCTATGGGCAAAGTTGTAGTGTTGGGGAATAGGGATAAAACAGCAGTGAGGTGTTTCCCTCAAATAATCAGCATACCAGTTATGCTGTCTCTTCAAATGTAAATAAGGGGTTAGTAAAGCTAGATCTCAAAAATAGTGCATTCCGACTTACCATACTGTGGTCCGTAACCGGTGGTAAGATGCTAATGCGGAACCCAACCTAAAAGCTGGTTCAAGTAGGCCATGTTTGACCGGCTTCCAACAGTTGTCCCTGGGCTCTACGGTCATGCAACACTAATTCTGTTTCTGTTCTGGATACCCCGGGAAAAAGCAATTTCCATGGTGTGGGCGATCGGAAAGTAACAACCGCCCACACACTGCCAAAAGCACATAAAGCTTCCCTAGTTATCATTGTTGTTTATCCACATTACCATTACGGAGTTAATAAAGTCTTTCTAGGCTTCTTGTTTTGATAATTACTGCTAACAAAATCTCATTGTCGAAAAGTTAAATTTTTAAGTATCTAAATGAATAGATAATGAGTGAAGATAATTTCCTAATACTGAAAACTTTCGCCTGTTCAAAATATCCGTTAACTTACTACATCAATAAAGCTTCTGTCGTCTCCATTGTAATAAATTACATGGTACACTCCTTCAAGCACCTCATCGAGTTTATTTTTGTAAGTTAGGTAGTAGAAATGACCGTCTACTTTTAAACGACGGCTTTTTGCTAAATCGCTAGAAGCAATCCAACTTCTAATATTTTTTTTATTCAGATCAGTCACTTCTTGTTTGCTTTCAACTCCTGTAACAGAACCATAGTATTTCTCCTTCAAACAAATAAAGAACAAAGAATACAAAACACTAGAACATAACCCATAAAACAAACATCAATCACGCATTATACCAATATAAAGCCATCAAGAATAGATACATTGATAACACAAACATACTGGTACAAATGACGTTTTAGTTTATCTCACTCCTTTGAATTCCTTGTGGAACATCGAATTTCCAGCTTTTAAGTTCAGTTAGCAGCGGTGCGGCTTTTAAGGGGTAAGATTGCTAACTTCTTACCCAACCTTCACTCTTTTATGGGATTTATAAAACTTTGCATTTACCGGCTGAAAGTTAAATGTATAAGTTGAGAAATATTATTCGCACACGGCTGTTCATAATGTATCATCTGTTTCAATCACGAATATTTTAAATCATATTACAAGTTGAAGATGAATACACCTCACCCCTTTTAAATGGAATGATATAACAATTAAAATTACCTCAGCGGGACGATGTAGCAAAATAACAATTCAATCAAAACAAAATATTACAATAAACGCAATTAAAAATTAAAATTTTTACTACTCAACTCAACACCATAGTTTGTACAGCTGATAGAACATACTTCCGAATAATAGTGGTTCTTTCGATTTCAAGTTTAATAGGTTAACTTTTGAAGCTAGAACTTCATTATTTATTTTAGTGCTTATCATCAAATAGTAAACTTCACAAAATGACTTGTCGTCATAACCATAATCAACAATCATTTTGTGCATCTTGGCATAAAAACAGATGCATTTTTCGTATTGTGTACTGATAACTTCTTGTGCAATAAGACATTTATAGCTGATCTATGATTCGACTCCCACAACGTTTTCTTTCAGTTTTAAATAACTGAGCAGTGATTATGGTGTTCACCTTAAGTGACTGCTTTATAGATACTCATAGATGATTTAAATATCGCGAGGTATGTCGAGTAACGTGCATTCAAAAAATCGAACATCAGGACGCTTAGATGTCATCATTATTGTGAAACAGTATTAATTTTACGTTCCTAAGAATTATTTAAAATTTAGAGAACAGTTAAGGTTAATCAAGTGAGAACCATCGGTTCCACAAGATATCGGTCAAATATTGAACATAATTGATTACATATGCTGACAAATTATACAAAAACATAGGAGCGAAAATACTGATTACACAAACGAAGACAGTGATCAAAACAACACAGAACAGTCAAGTGAATATGTGTTTGGGTTAGAAAGTATATGAACTTATTGTTGAGAATTGAATGCATTTCAGTCGCATTGTTTTATTGTGCAAACAGCACTTCAATGGTTCAGTGGTAGAATGCTAGCCAACTACGCACCTGGTTCGAAGTTTCATCCCCGACTAACACACCCTTAAATTCAGCATGGTTTATTATCTGGTATTAAATCTAGAAAAGACGAATGGTTCGGTATGCGGCTAGCAACCCTATGTCATGAAAACAACACCACACATACTGAAACACCACGAATTCAAGCCTGAAGCCCTATGCTACATTCAGAATGCCAAAAAGTGAAAATAAACTGTGCAAATACTTCATCTGTTTGACAAGACTACTCGTAACTTACGAAGTAAAGAGATATACATGCCATAAGGTATCCACTGCTACAACCAACACATAAAACTCTTGCTTCAACTTCGAGACGTGGTGTTAATGCTTCCAAAACCATTCCGTGCTGTATCGCATAAAATATATAAAAACGTGTAGAGTGAATTTCAACCAACAAAGCATGGTAACAAATTAGGTACTATATATATATAAAGAGATGAGATATATGTTTCAAACAATGTACAGCAATAAGTTTTTGTAGTTTTGTTACAATGAGAACACATCCAGATGGGCTCAAGGGACGCTTTCATTTTCACTACTTGGTCAGGTCTTTAGAATGTCATGATAAAAGTAACTATCTGAGAAAAGTACTATTGAAAGATCCTACTGATAAGGCGATTTGTACAACTCAATGCTTTAATTTATCGGCAAACCAAATAACCATAAGTTTCTTTCCAATTTGAAAAACTTAAAACAAACAGGTGAACGTGTGTAATACATTTTGTGTGGCTAAGCGTCCAAAAGTATGTGAATGATCAAGATAATTACCTATTGTCAAACTAATAGTTTGTCCGAAGTTAAATGGAGCTGTGAATTTACGTCAAGCTTTGCCTGAAGTAAAAATTGGGCCCAGTTTATGAAAATGAAATTCGGGTTGCAGGAAGTTTGGCCAGCTTCCCTTTTTTTAACTCAAGTCTTAATCCTATTATGAAAGCAATCTTATAATCTTCAGTACTTAACGGAGTTATATGACCTGGTATTAAACCCCACACTTCCTCTGCTTCTACCCTTTAGATGATCTAAATTAGCTGGAAATTTTCGATATAATATAGTGGCGACTGGAGTATATAAAAATATTCATTTATCATCAAACCTACTATGAATGGCGCGCTGATATTAACACCTTCCGCGATTGTCTGTGGTTGATTTTCGTATGGCCGAGTCGGACAAAAGTACCTACGATCAACGCCAAGCATCACATTTATAACGATCTTAGACTTTATATATCCCTTTCCTAAAGTAAAACATCATACTAAGAAAAACAGGAACATACGCTGTAGGAAGCCAACCAGCTCACGCTGGGAATTAAAGTTTGTTGCATATGTGAAATCCGAGTTTAAAGCACAAAGTAGAGTTACAAACACGTATTTAATGACCAGGCATACGATCACCATCCTTCAAAAACGTTAAATGCCCTGACGCTATCGAAACATGATTTCGTTACGGTTTAATGCGATAAAACAAATTTAAGATTTAGATTGTCTCTTGAATAAGATACACTTTTAGCCAATATTTATGAGTTTATAACAAGCGTCTGTGCTTTTTCAATAGCCTACTGAACGAGTCGATGAGGGAAGCGAACACTACTTCTGGGTGTTGAGGATAAGAGTTTTCGACTGAACAGGAAACCACTACTTTGCACAGATTATTGGCTTCCCAACTTTTCTGCTATTTCTTTTAAAATGTTCCAACCTTTAGAAGAAAGGAAGAGGATAGATCCGTTCTAAAGTCACCTGTCTGCCCAAGTTGTAATGAAATGCAGAGATTTAAACCATCAAATCTTTCTCCTATTGACAGATTGGTTATGCCAAGAATCGTACATGTGGTCTTCCTTCGGACCCTTCTCAGAATACATGTGTCCTCCTTAACACGATGCTATATATCTGAAATCAGTTTCTTAATCTTCCTCTCAGCAGACGGGTTTATGAATTTGTGGACATTTCACTAGTGATTAGGGCAAAGATCATGTGAACAAAACATTGGATATAAAATTGCAGCGCTTCCACTAAGTGGTGGTGTTGTAAATTGCAAAGCATGACTCACTATGACACTTAGTTTCAAGTTAGCCGAAACTGATAGGAGTGCCGCTTTGTCTACATCGTATGAATCGACACTTGTGTACTATTGTTGAGCAATTCGTTAATTTGACTGGGACCATATATCCTTTGAACTAATTTAGAAGCTTGTTGAGATGTAAGCAAGTCAGCTGCATTCTCTTGGTCCCTTATAATTCTAGGTCATCTGCCTAGAGGACCATGAGAGTTTGATAAGCCCTTACAGTGCGTTAATATATAAGATAAATAATAGTTGGTCAGATATAGTACCTTGTGGTACACCATTACATACTATTGTCCAGGAGTCAAACTGTTCAAATGAATACCAAAACTTGTTCACGCTTAGTATCCATTTAATCCCAGTTTATATGGAATTCGACTTCTCAACAACACTGAAATATTTATTCACATTTATTCATGTGACATAATGCGTGCTTCGGATGTATCAGTTAGCGGATTTCTACCATTCATCAGTGTTGGAAGTATTGACGATGGCGTTCTTTCAGACATTCTACCATATGACAGCACGCTAGAGACAGCAGCTATGAGGCTCTTTGCAAGCCATGAGCCTTGTTCTACTGTTGGAAAGCAGTCTCCTGTACCCTTGGGACTGCGACACACTGTGATGGCGTTTGTATCCTGTTCCTTGCATTTTATTCTGCGGCGCAGAATTTCGCATTCACTTTTTCCTTGCGCTAGAACTTCGTTAATACGCAAGGCCAGACGCTTCTTTCTGTTAGTATTTCCTTTCCCCTGCCTTTCAGGTGATCTGTCCTCTTCACTTTGTCTCTTTGCATGTCTACTTCATTGTCGCTATTTTGGATTTTACCTGTAAGCGGAAGATATATTAGACTGTGTCTATTCTGGTTTCACGAAAATGGTTTCCACACATGCCGTGTTTTCTTATACTGATTGAGTCACAAAAAAGCGAGAGCAGATATTCTTTTCAAAGTGAATACTAGTACTCATGCCATAACTAGTGTCCAGTATATTTTTGTCATAACTTATGTATAATCTGATTTCTTAAAGTCTTCCATCACATTCTATTTCATTGACTACTGCAGCTCCGCTGGACGTATGAGGTAGATTCGTAAAGAAATATGTCCAAGGGAATACCTGGTTTATACTAGAGCGGCGATAATGCTGGGGCTTTCCAAATTTCTTGACCTGAGCAGCTCTTCAGTTGATTAAATATGCACTTTGGAGAACACTGCACTAAGAGGAGGGAATAGAAAGGAGAAAACAAATGCAACTTGGGGCTAAAAGACCGTTGTTAACTCTAAACTTTAGCAGCCAAAGCCGAAACTACCTAGCGAGCAGACAAATGATGTCAGCCAAGTCTCATAAACCGTTAATGCCCAGCTCTCGCTACGCTCGGGCCCACGCTGTTCTTAGAAGATTTCTCGGAAACGCTTAGTTATAACGGACGCAAAAACCAAAACACCGATCTGCCGTTTGATATTTCTGTATTGTTACACCAACATATAAAAGGAATAAGCGAACTAAGCAACTAAGGTCTGAAAACCAATATTACAATAATAAATCATTGTTACTTCTGACGATATTTTACTCTTCTTTCTGAACAGCGACCGATGAGACGATGACTGTCGTATTGATGCCTCCGCGAAAATCGGGGAAGTTGATTTTGAGCAAACAACCAAGAATTGATCGTTCAGTCTTCAACTACATTGACACTCCCCGGCAAAAAAGGGATCCAACCCTTTTTTCCTTCACGATCAATGCACGTCGACTTGGATGCCATTGCGAGAACCTGGGTCACACGGACAGAGCTGAAATGGAAAACAAACAGAAAAGCCAACACACCACAAGCATATTCACAGCACAATCTCACACATCAATGACGACCTGCGCCTCCAGACAGAGACCTCCTCTTGACATCTTGCAACACAATCGCCACTTCCTAGAATGACTCTTGCAGAATGCAACGTGACCATAGCACCAACTCATGATACACTTCAAGCATCCTCATATCTACTCACTACCAATTACCACTGCAATCGCTTGTCACTCATTCTGCCTCAGTTCTAGTAGCGGTGACGCATGCGAGCCTCAGTCGTTTACACTCTTTCTCCCCGGCGTGTCGGACCTCAGCTAACAATTATCTCCGTGTGCATTTCATTCTCAGCAATAGCCTAGCCTCCCCGGCGTATACGACCCATCTGCTGTTCTTAACATCAATCAATTCATTCATGGATGTAGAAGACTCGAAACAACTTCAGAAGTAATCACGACGAAAATTTTAACAAAATTACGCAATAACAACAAGATACGAAAACAACAAGTAAACACAATGAATCCAAAAACACCAATTGATATGACACACCACACGTATATACAAATAGTACAAACAACCTCGCCGATCATGTCTTGGTGGAATTCCTTTGAAGAATTGCAGGACTTACACCAGTACGCCTACAACCCTTCTCAGGTTGACGATTGTAATTTGTGGAATGTCCGGACACAAACAAGATTAACCAACAATTACAATAATTGGAACTCACACAACTATTTAACACAAACATATGTACAATCAACACATCAAATGTTGTGGATTCCGGCATGACAAACTACCCTTGAAGAACTGTAGGACTTACAGCAGTACGCCTACATTCCTTCTCAGGTTGATGATCCAAGTGGAAGTCGTCCGGACACAAACAGAATTACCAACAGCTAGATGACAGATGATATCAATTCAGTATATACAATATGAACATATGTACAAAATCACACACCGAGCACATTGGAGTGCTCATTGATGCGCTACCCTTTGAAGAATTGTAGGACTTACAGCAGTACGCCTACAACCCTTCTCAGGTTGACGCTCTAGGTTGGAAAATCGTCGCAGAGTTCATTTGCTGACTTCCTTCTATCAGCTATATCCTCAAATCTGAACGGCAACACGCCCATGTCATTGTATCGTAGAATATAGATGACCAACAAACACACGACATATCTCATCAACCAAGTGTAGAAACAGAGTAATTTACACCAAAGATAATAACATTCAATTAGTAACTTGAAACTAGAAATGCCTTTATTCATGCAAGTCAATTTAACAATAACTCTCTCCTTTACACTTGGCTTATCCACACTAAACTGACCATTGATATTCGTCCTTTCAAACGAACTGATACTACCATAGTCATTGCACAAGATACTTGAGTTGATGGGCGTCTGTTTCATTGTGGATGACAACACCAACGACGACTGAGTGACACAAGGTGATGAAGTTAGCGGTGGATCAGAAGCTGTTGTTGCTCGACTTTCAGAAATTTGTCTACCTGCAAGACCACCACCACTGCTGTCTTTTACTATCAGCTCAGGTTTAGCACTAGCATCTGATGATAGGTGGGCTACATGCTGATCACTCACACTGACGGTCTCACAAGTATGCATGCCTTCTGCAACTGCATCTGCATTCAATTCTACTTCACGTTCAAGTTGTACAGAAACTTTGTTTAACTTAGCAGTAGTAGGCATTCCCTCCATTTCATCATGATCAACCAAAGACAAATCTGCACTATCATGATCATTATCACAAATATTCAATTTACCGTCAACTTCATCATTTTCAAACTCTTTAATAACAGAAGTAGACAATTTTGGTTCCTCCTCACAAATCCTAAAAGGTTTTATAACTTCACTCTGACTAGTTATACTTTGTAAACTTGTGGAGTCAGAACTCCACTCTGAAGCAGTAACTCTATTCTGTGACACTCTATTCAACAACGGCTTACCAGTTGCAACTACAGACTTCTTCACAACACCGTTATCGTCACACAATTCGGAGTCAGGCCTGGAGTTTACATTTAGCTTATCACTGAACTTGCTCACTGGTTCACAGTTCACTTCTGTATGCACCTCTTGCACACGTGTCAAACACAACCGTGTTTGTCTTGCATCTTGTAACTTATCTGTTGAGGATGTACTACGAAACCTGTTACACTCACTAGGTCTATATGCATTACTAGACATCATGGAGCTTTCTCGATATCCACCTCTCTGAGGCCTACTCGTCATCAATGATTGCATTTTGATCTCAGACTGCTCTATTCTAGGGGTGAGATCTAATAGACTGGCGAACTTGCTCATAGATTGATTGACACTAGTATTTACCAGTTTCAGGATATCATCAAACTTTGGCTCGATACCCTCATCCTCCATACGGGAGCTTATCTTCACCCACTTCCTTTGCAGTCGAGTAGGTAGACGTCTTGCTATTACTTCTAGTATAAAACTCGAGTTGAGGTCACTCATTCGATTCATCGAAATCATTCCATTCTTGTAAATTAGCAAATTATCTAAAAACTCAGTGAGTGCCTGGGAGTCATCCTGTAATTGACCACCATTACCCTCAACAGCCTCGAATAATTTCCCTGCAATCATC